TTTTGGAAAAAAAAAACAACTGAAAGAAAGCACTTCTGTATGTTAGGAATTAATTTCAAATATTCACACTGATTAACAATAGCTACTAGTTCATATGGAGATACAGAAACTGCTACAAAAGCATTTCTCACCTCTGCAGACGGATTTGGTATCCTGTACTTTTGCCATTACCACATGTTTCTGCCCTTTCAGCAGCAACTCTCTCGGCCACCTTAAAATCAAACCAATGCATTGAAAATATACACATATATCTTTATATATACACACACATATGTATGTGGACAGATGATCTATGACTTAGCTACTCACTAATAGGAAATACCCTGAACAAAGACTCTACATATCAACAAGAGAACAAACAAACCCAATCCACTAAAGACTAGTTTCTCTCTTCCATTTACAGTGGCATTGTCCAGCTGATCCCAAGAACGGGTTTGCAGTCTGCACTCTATTGCAGAATAACACAACCAATTAAAAACTAACAATAAATACTCCTAGAATGAACCTTTCATTAAGGCAAGCTTCTTCCCATGGGAAATAAATGAGTATGGTTAAGCATTAGAATTCCTTCAAAAGGAATAATTGCTGTGCACTTAACACCTGAATTCTTCCATGCTTGTTAACATACGTTTCTAAAGAGTCCGAAACATTTGTATTTGCCTTTATCTGCATCTGCACTGTCCAAATCCACTGAAATCACTGATGTGACAATTTCACAGAAAAGTCACTGTGCCAGTATTCTATCAAGCATCAAAACTTAATATAAAAAATGCTGGATTAGTGTTAACAAAACTATTCCTTGAAAAAATTATAATGACAGTGAAAATTAACACACAAAAGGCCATCTTAGCTGTCCACTTCTGGCTGAGCATGGGTCTTAAGCATTTAGTACGAGTAGATTGGGTGCTCGATCAGTCACTTGGAGATGTGCAGGTTCTACGTAATCATTTGAATTCTTTCAGCTCTTCTCAATTTAAGTAATCTAGCAGATTGTATGTAATCCAGCAGTCCAAAGAGTTTCCCAGGAAATTTAGCCCACATTAAGAATAATAATAATGTATTTTAATTCAATGATTTTAAGTTAGCATTTTTTTCCGTCTCCTCCCCCAAAAAGGATGAGCAACAAACAAATCAACCAAACAATCCACCAAAACAGCCTCCCCCGCCCCAAATAATAAATAAATAAACAAACACACAAACCCATAAGCAATGAAGTGGCTCAGTCTGTTAAACCAGCACTTACGGAGATGGCGCTGATCCTCCTGGGCTGAGTACACACGATCCTGCACGTAGACCCTACCCCTCGCTCAATGTAATCATCCAAGATGAACTGGGTAACTTGGGTGGTCTTTCCACAACCCGTCTCGCCACTAATCACAGTGACCCGATTATTGTTTATCAGGTTTACAAGTTCCTGTTTCCAAACAGAAAGAAAACACTTATAAATATTCTCTACAGCGATGAGAACTTAAAAGGAATTTTCATGGCATATAAAAGACAATTACTCAGTTTTCTCTCCTAAGACTTCAAAGAAATAATAGAAAAGTTATATTACAAATAACTTAAAATGCATCTAATGTTCAGAACTGTATCTATGAATATTGTCATCTCTATTGATAAAGACGTATGATCCCAGGTTACGTTTTTACGTATCTTGAAACAATGAATTTAGAGATACATTCTGGGAGATAGAAGACGGGGAGGAAAAAAAAAAAAAAAGCAGCATAGTTGCATAGTTGCAGACCTCGTGAAACTTTCTTCCACACTTGCGTACTCTGTTTAGTCCAGTTACATATACAGAAATCTCTCATTTTACAGCAAAAGTACGTATTATTACAAAATAAAAATATATTTACCTTTCGCATTCCGTAAGAAGGAAGTTTCTCTCGGAATCTCTGGCATAAAAAGAAAAAAATGCATCTGTAAACGCCTTTCTAACACTAAATTAATACAACAGATTTTATCTAGACTAAGCTAAGAAAAAAAAACATCATAAGTTGTTCTACTAATACCCATGTAAACACAGGCCCACTAGAAATAAAGTTAATTCCAAAAATGCTTTCAACTTCATTACATTTAGAAATGATAATAAAAAAGCAAATCTACCAGAGAATGCTTATACCTAGGTTAAATATGCAATTTCTAATGCTCTTAACTAAATAAAATGATAACTAAAATTATCACTAAAAACCTGTTTTTTAATCACTGCCCTATAAATCGGTATGTGTAAGAAACTACAGAAGTAATTATTTTAGCACAACTAACACTGTGACAACTTCACAGCAAATAAACTGGGATGCAATTTCATATTCCAGTCATATTAACTTTTTTTTTTAAAAAAAAAGCTAAAAGCTTTCTATTTTACACATTAGAAAGTACCTGCATTTCAATGTATCTTGGATCAGATTTTTTCTGTCTTAAGTCTTCTTTAAGCTGCTCATCTAAACCAGCATCTTGATCATTTTTCTCAAAGAGATACTCAGCATCTCGATCAAGATATGTTTTCTCCAGCACTGGTCTCTGCTTTACAGGAGCTTTTTCCACAGCTGGCTTCACTTTTGCAGGCTCCTCCGGAGCGTTTCTGAGGCAAACAGGGTGGCACAAGCGGGTCAGAGAGCACCAGAGGCTCTGGCGGCGGGGAAGGCGTGCAGGGCAAACCTCCCGCCTGCTTTTCAGACATTGCACCCGAAGGCTGCCTGGCGTTGGGCACAGGGAGCGCAGGGCTGCGAAGATACCTGTCACCACGCACTCCGCAACGCCAGGCCCCAGAGCATCTCTAGGGAGGCACTGCCCAACCCGCTGCCAGCCCCGGGTGCTCCCCAAGGAGAGCCCAAGCAGACAGCGCCCTGGCTCGGGCCGGGCTCCCCGCGGCGCCGCGCTGGCTGCTCACCCTTCCTCGTCCCCCGACCACCAGGACATGGCCTCCTGCTCCCGCTCGCCTTTGGCCTGGACGCTGCTCAGCAGCTGCACGATCTGCTCCTCCCTGCGCTCGTCCATGCGCACCACGGCTCTCTGCGGACACAAGGGGAAGCGGCGCGGTTA